AACTTTCCTTGGTATGAGTAGACTGGAAGGACTCATATCAGGTGTGTCATCATCATCATCATACGCGGTATAATCCCACATGTGGAGTCTGGAGAGAAAAGTGTACGCAGACCTTACTCCTACCCGAATAGATAGAGAGGCTGTGTCCGATAAACCCTCGGCTCATATCAGGTGTGCAATGTTGCAAAAGATGCAGAATCTTTTTCTTTTTCTCTCTTCAATTTACTTTTTTCCTTTTGGCAAGTTTAGCCGTTGAGGGATTCAATTTCCATAAAAATACATAAGCCTCGTGACAGCTCCAGATTCAAGAACAAGTACTGCAGGAGCAGGGCGAATCCGGAACCAAAATGTTGCTATTTTGGATTCAGAAAACACAAATAAGTGTAAAAAAAAAAGGTAACCATAATATATATAACGCCAGAAAACTTGGCGCTATATAATAACAGTAACTGCACCGTTATTGTATAGCGCCAGGTTTTCTGGCGTTATACACTGTCAGAGTAATATAGCGCCAGGTTTTCTGGCGTTATACACTGACACAGTGATATAACGCCAGAAAACCTGGCGTTATATCCCTCAACAAAAAAACCCTCCACCTTCTTCACCCATCTTCTTCTTCACCATTATTCTAATCCCCAATCCAAAACCTGGTCCCCCCACTATCCGCCATTATAAAAAAAAGAAATATTTTGGGTCCCCCCGGCACATAAAACTTGAAGAACGTAGGTCCCACACTCGAGTAGAGCTTCTTGTTATTGTTGATTCACGCTTTCGGAGTCAAATTTTAGATCTATTTGCTTTCCGAAAATTCTAAATCGAGGTATTTCGATTTATTTTAAGTTGAAACTTTTATAATAATGCATATTATTTGATTTGTATGTGTTCTATTTCGGTTGGTGGTTTTATTTTCGAAATTAGCATCTTAAATTTATCCGGATTTAATTTTACTGTTTTATATAAAAATATAAATTTGTCAAATAAATTTGTCTGTTAATATTCTCATTTATATATATGTGCTTTCATGCCGTTTTGTATTTTATTTGCAATTAAATTTATTTGTTATTTATGTTTAGTTTAGATTATTTTTTAGCGTAGTAAAATCTAGACCTTTTTAGCATAGTAAAACGTAGACCCTTTTAGCGTAGTAAAATTTAGAGCCTTGTAGCGTAGTAATGTGTAGTATTTTAGCTTAGAATTTCTTTTGTTTTAGTATCTATTACTGGTATTTCGATCCTCAAAATATGGAGCCCGGAACCCATACGTAAGTAATTTATACAATTAAGTTATTAAAAAATATGAATTTAAATTATAAAAAAAAATATATAGACAATATGCCTCAAAATATGGAGCCCAGAACCCATACGTAAGTAATTTGTACAATTAAGTTATTAAAAAATATGAATTTCAATTATAAAAAAATACATAATTATTAATGATAATTTTGTACCACTGGGCCTCAAAATATCGAGCCCGGAACCCATACGTAAGTAATTT